TTTACAAGGAATGCATCCACGCATCTAACTGCATCACTTCCTTCAGTAGCATTCAAACGCTGACCGACTCTTTCACCTTACCAGACACGGTCGGTTGGTTTCTGTCTTTCATCACGACTGACGGAGACCCGACCTCAGATTGGCGCGGGGACCTCCCTCTCAGGCTCAGAGTAGTGGTGAACTTCAGACCTCGGCCACAGACCTTGCCCATGCCCTGACCTCAGGTGTGCTTCACTGGCAACGACCGGTCGGCTGCGCGCCCCCCCTAATCATGCCTGGCATGATTTAAATTCAGATTCAGATGCTGACCTTCAGCGTGTGTTTATCAAAGATCCGCACCCATGGTGGCGTTTCACGTAACGCGTCAATAAAATTAAAAAGTTGAGGACAAATACCCTGAGCATCCCTCTAGCCAGGCTCGAAGTGCGCACGACACGTTAAGTGTGCATGAGGTGCTGACCTCAGGTCATGACCTCACCTGACACGAGATGTTATTTCGGGCCTGTCGCGTGGCTCAGCCGGCTGGCTGCGCCCCAGCTTCTGTCCGTCTGTACCACTGGGTTGAAGCGCTGCACCGCCTCGGGTGACAGATTCGGGAGCGTCTCGGACGTCAGCCGCCTCCAGCGTGCCCTGCGGACACGGGTGGCGGATCAGGTCAGCGGTCCGGCGCTCCTGCACGCTCAGCACACGCAGAGAAGGGTCAGCCAACCGCCCCCCCCACCCCCCTGCAGACTGGAACGGGCGGTATCGCGCCTTCGTTTCGTGTCCGCGCAGCCGCCGGGATCTCTCCCTCGCGGAGATACCGCAGTAGTTCCTTTCGTGTCCGCGCCGCCGTCGGGATCTCTCCCTCGCCGAAGAATGCCGCAGTAGTAGTTCCGCCGCACCAGGATTGTCACATCTGCATTCCATGAGCCAGCGACATAAATTCTAGATTTATCGCGCCCGTAACGCGCATCGGGACTAATCACGTCAGCCGCGCCGCGTCTGTATCCGCCGCGCCATTAACGTCGTGTCAGGTGTCGGCTCAGGTCCGGCCGACGCTACGCGCCTGCCGGCCGATAGCAGCAGGGACGCGAACAACAACGCGGGCGGCACGGGTAACGACAGGCGGCGCGGTGGCGGTCGTGGCGCGCCGCCGGTCCCGCCGCCGTACATCACGTCACCAATTATGGCTGCGCACGCACCCGGCCGCTCAGCGCCGCGCCGGCCGACCAGCAATCCCCTGGAAAGTCGTAAAGTTGGCCTGTGCGCCACAAATCCCCCATTACCGGAGGAAATCCCTAAACAAATCTAAGAATTTATGTGAGATTATTGAAGATCAGTTGCACATTGTCCGCGTGGCTGGAGCGGCCATCAAAAACTGGCGTCAGTGGCTTCGTTTGGGGCCATTCCGACAATCCCGTGATGGAGAGCGGCCATTAACTCAGCGGCAGGCAACCGGATATGTTTACTTTCTGGCCGCCTGGGGCTCCCAGTTAAGATGTCCGCCGATTGGCACTCTCAATAAATCGCGAGGTGTGAATCGAACGGCAGTCCGGCCGACGCGCGGCGGAAATGGGCGACCGCTGCCCGGTGGCGCCTGGCGAGCCTGGGACGCGCCGCCGACGACCGCCGAGACTCCAGCGGCGTCAGGTGGGCCTGCCACCGGTGGGCCTGCTGCCAGTGCGGCCTGCCACCAGTGTGGCCTACCACCGGTGGGCCTGCCACCGGCGGGCTTGCCACCGGTGGGCCCGCTACCGGTGGGCCTGCCACCGGTGGGCCTGCCACCGGTGGGCCTGCCACCGGTGGGGCCTGCCACCGGTGGGTCTGCCACCGGGGGGCTTGCCACCGGTGGGCCCGCTACCGGTGGGCCTGCCACCGGTGGGGCCTGCCACCGGTAGGCCTGCCACTGGTGGGCCTGCCACCGGTGGGCCTGCCACCGGTGGGCCTGTCACCCGGTGCGGCCTGCTGCCGATGCGGCCTGCCACCGGTGCGCTCGTGCTGAAGGAAACTCGAGTAACTGGACGAGGACGCCATTATGAGGTCGGGAATGTCTGGTGTTCGGATGAGGTGAGGGCGTGCTGACAGGGCATTTGTGTGGGCCAGCGAGCTCTCAAGCCGGGATCTGTGGGTGGATGGCAAATGAGGCTTCGGCAATCCGAATACAACCGGCCGATATCATCTATATCCTGCTTATTCTGTACTCATATGAGTTCAGTCTAGTAAAAAATGCCAGCTCGCCGCTTCTAAAACAACTGGTGCCCACCCCACTGCCCCGAGGCGTAAGCAATGATAGGCTTAGGGTCCCTCAAAATACACATGTGTACCATGATATATGCCGTCCCATGCTGTCGGTTAGCTTGTTCTTACGTAAAAATCGTCGCTCTCATCTACATAGCAAAATAAGAACTGCGATATAATCAGGGAGAAAAGGCTTCCACACACAAAACTCAGACATGCCAAGTGCGTGAGGGCTGCCAGAAACCAGGTTCACAAACACACACGTTCAAGCCTAAAATGTTTGTGAACGAAGTTTTCTAAATAGGCCTAAAAGGTTCGTTAATCTTAAATTTCGAGCGAAAAAAGTCGGATCGGCTAGGGCACCTCTCGCGGAAAGTAGGTAGCCAGTTCACTCTCAACAATGAAGGAAAGGATGTACGCGATTATAGCACAGCACAAAGCACAGTTCTGGGCTGGGCAAAAAGCACAAAACTGGGCCTACCTTCTCGTCATGTGTATATCTGCAGATCGTTCTGCGCTTCAGATGAAAGGACATACCTGCTCTATGACATCGTGATCAAAAGTCACATTCCATACGGATCGCCACGAAAAGCGTCGTGACGTTTAAAAATTCTTTCAGCCCCTGCACCCCACACAGCGTAGTCCGAGCTATCGTGGCAGTTCGCTTACATCCCGCCGAGCTCGAGCTCCCAAGAACCAACGCGGCGGCGCGGCTGGGTCGGCGCTATTCCGGGTGTGCCAGGGTGGGGCTGGTGACCTGACCCCGGGCGGCGGTGTCAGCTGCCTGCTGTCCCGCCGGCGGCGACGCGGCTGGACCACGGCCGCAGCCGCCGCGGTCACGTCTCGGCAGTGGTGTCAGCGACAACGACCAAGCTTCATCGATACCGACGCCCGTCGTCTCTCACCGGCGCGCTTTACTTTTATATCGACCATCGCAGTAAACCGGCGGCCGCATTACTTTTATCGGCCTGGTTAAAACGTCACGCGGGGACGGTAAATCATCATTTGCGGTCAACCAATCTTTATTATCGAGGTATCATCGCCTCCGTGTCCCCACCAATCATATTTATCGCATCATCAGCCCATTTAATTCCATTGGATAACCTGCCGCTGGCCTGTTTAAGAGATCTCCGAAATGGCGCAAGTTCGAAAACTCATCGATGAATTCAGGAATCGGAGATTAGAGGGCGCGACGAAGGCGGCGACACCCTCTCCCTCTCTCTGAGAGACGGCGGCACCGGCTTCAATATGGCCCGGCTGATGATGCCTTCCCAAGGGGACCGATAGTGGCGAGATTTATCGCCGAATTCCACCCAAAGATGGCGCTAGACGTCGCGTGGTGTGAGGCGTTCGGGTAAATCATTGATGGAGTCCCGGCTGGGGAAGCGACGACATTTAATTGGCAAACGTGCGACCTCGCTAGGAGGGATACTGGTACTGAAGCACTGAAGCGAAGCGTGCGAGGAGGACCACGTGTGCCTAGGCGATTGGACGTCATCGTGTTTAAGTGATTACTATCGTATCTATTGAAGATAGCTTACAGCCCGTTACGCAAGGCTTGAAGCGATGAGCCGAAACATGAGGTGCGTAACCATTATCTGAACCTAAAATATCAAAACTGACTTACAAGAAAACACAACAAAACAATCATGCTATCATACATACGAGGATGTGATGTCCCAAAACTACCGTCGCGCGAAAACGCATTCCTATTAAAATGTGGCACGCAATGATGCAGAACAAAACCGCATCCACAAGAACAAAATCACCAATACAACACTGCAGCTTGACGCATAATACGATCGTGGTCAAGCTCTCTGATGACGTCCAGAGTCTAATTAGCTCCCTGATGACGTCACCCAGCAGGTTAAATGAATGCGAGAGTGCGATGACATCAGACTCAGCTCGGCCAATGTGCGCCTGCCACCACTCACCTTGGCGCAGGGACAGCGGCCAGAGCACCCGAGGGCACCAATCCTAACACCGGACCAGGGCGCACCCTGAATCCGGCCCGCGCGGGGGAGACAGACCTGACTCAGCATATCCGAGGACAGCCACGGTGCTGCGGGACACCATGCCCATCTCGTCCATGCAACAGACGGTGACGACAAGGGTGGCCAGACTCACCTCGTCTAGGGAATCCGGCGGCAGCGCGGCTGCCGACTCACCTCGTCCAGGGGGCAGCCGGCGGCTGTGAGGATGCCGCTGCCATGGCTGGACCAGCAGGCGCAGCAGGCGGTCTTTGACGTCAGCCGCCTGGCGCCCCGTCGGTGTCAGGCGGCAGCACACGTGCAGCGTGGCCGCCGCCACCACGTCACTGAGGATGTCGTGCACAGTGTGCGCCTCGCTGCCGCTCACCTGGTCCAGCGTCAGTGGCTTCCAGTTGCGCAGTGACAGGTACGCTGCCGGCCGGCGCGCCAACCGTCAGCCGGCGGAGACACAGTGACGCAGCCGGGGCGTCGGGTCGAGCCCCGCGCCAATTCAAATGATTTTGACTGTCTGTTAATTCCTCAGAGAGTGTCACAGTACATCAGCCGCTGTTGCCGTTACGCACACCCATTTAAAGCGCTCCATGGGTCATTCAGAGAGTTAGCGGCCGTTCGCCGCACCGCGAGCTAAGCGGTCCACCGCGGCCGTTCCGTCCGCTCGGTGACAAACACCGTCTCGGCGGCGCTGCGCCGGCGCCCCTCACCCGTACTCTCCGGCAGGTTGACGTGCTCCAGGCCGCACTTTTGCAGGCACGGTGGCTGTTATGTCGCTGAATTTCGTCGACGACGGGATTATGGCGTAATCCTCGATGCGACGGATGCCGGCCCGCCGCTCCTGACATCTGGCGGCAGGTCGATGAACTCCACCACAAAGCGGACCGGAAGGGTAGCTGAGCTCGTCACTGAAAGAAAACAGGCAAATTTGAGAGTGGTGCGTTCGATAATTATCTAAAGCTCGGTTACTGTCATGGACAACTTTCAGACACAGGAAAAGGGATCACGACAGAATACTGATGGGGATGGGGAAGAGGGGCGCGTCGCACAAACTAACCTCATAGCACCGCCGATCAATTCTCAATTAGCCAGGTTATCGTTCAGCTACGAGATGAGACGATGATCTCAAAGGAGTGCAAGTGCTGACTGCAAACGAAGCCACACCTAGTAATTGCAATTCTTTGCAACTTTCAATGCGTACACATCCTAACACAATGCATGCATATCAAGCACATATTTCAACAGACGGTCTTAACGTTCAATACGAGGACAGATTGCGTCGAAAATATATCTCTAATGGCACTACTGTGATGCATAAGGGACCCGGCTATCTGCAGCCAACTGCTCCCCGTGGTGTGCCAAGTCTCGAGGAATGAGGAGATTTCGCCGCACTCTCGCCAATCCCCGGCCGTGGACAAATTCGATTTTGTCGGCTCAAATTCGTAAGCTTACCCAATCAAAAATTCATCTCTAAGTCTTCTCACACCAATCCTATTCAGATGGGGTTTAGCGTGGTCGAACCGCGGTCGAGGCATGTGATTCGGCCTCCTTCGGAACGCATTATCACGCGCCCGCGCGCAGTGCTCGATAGACGAGAGGAGCGCGCCCGGGCGCCGGGCGGCTAAGGGGGGTCGCCGAGGCGGCGGACGCCGCTGACACTGCTGCAGCGGAGCGCCGACCTCAGCTGCCGCTGACTATCAGCAACGCCGACCTCAACGGCCGCTGACTATCAGCAGCGTCGACCTCAACGACCGCTGACTATCAGCAGCGCCGACCTCAGCGGCCGCGGACTATCAGCAGCACCGCAGCCACCGGCTGTCTAAAGACCGGACCCGCTTCGGGGATGCAGCGTACTCTGCAGCATGGCTTGGTCAGGAAGGAGTGACGAGGCGACTGGAAATGAGGCCACAAACTAATCTGAGTTCGGAGCTCTTGCCGAACGGCAGCTAATTGGGCGATTAAAACAATAGATAAGTCTTTGAAGGAATACCTGGTGTCCAGGATTGACGTGTAAGACGATGGTACGAGCCAAAACAGTCGCAAGCACGACTAATACGGCCCCTGAGACATGTCGGCACTGCTCTCTCGTGCCAGTCTTACGTATTATGCAAGGCACAAACTATAACCTTTCGGAGAAACGACAAGAGGCAGCTTTATCCTTGATCACTTTTTCCATCAGCCGCCATGAATTCAGTCATCATTTGTATGAACTTGGCGGAATGGGAGCGCGTGGTGCCTGCAGCTCAGTGACTCGGTACCTATCAATGGTTCCCCGTGATACTGTTGATTGTGGATGCTTTATTATCTGTGCACTTGATTCGGGCTGGTGCGTGGCACCCAAGAATAATTTGATTTGGTATGATGTGTTTGCTGACAAACGTCGTTTGCTTGACTGAGCTTCGCCGCGATAGCTCAGTTGAGGGGTCACATGTTCTGGCCATCACGTCACATGCATATACAATCAATGGAAGGCACTCTTCTTGCTACTGTATCGAGCACCGACAGCGGGCACAAGCTTTGTAACTCACATTTCCGTAACTCGTAAAATGCGTAACTCCCTGACTCACATCTGCGTTGCTCGTGAACTGCGTAATCGCAAATGGCGTATCTGCACGGCTCACATATGCGTAACTCGTTAACTACGTTATCACAGCTGCGTACTGCGTAACTCACATCGGGCCACCGTTCACAGCAGGCGGCACAGAAAACGCGCGTAGCAGGAAACGACCGCCTGTCACGCCCCGGTCTCCATTCAGTGCAGCAGTCGCACGGCGGTGACGAGGCCCTGCGAGATGGCTATCAGCTATCGACAGGAGGCACGAGTTGGCGTTGGTCGGCGTTCGTAACCCACAAGCATTACTGCTGTCTCAATCCCCGCCGCTCGGTGTAAATGTGTGCCGCCGAATGACGGGGATTGGAGCCGAGGTCATGGGAAGGGAGCAGCAGCCAGGTACATGGGAAGACATACACGGCCTAAGGCATTGGGCAGACGGAAAACGAAACCTCGACTGAGCAGCCGGTTCCGGTACTCGTGATCCTGACGAGACATTTACGCTGTCTAATTCGCGACTTGACCAGGTTGGATCCCACGCGGCGTGGCCGTTCACTTCCTCGTGCTCGTGGGCCATCACGCGGAGAAAACAACCGAGTCTGACGACGAGTCAGGGTGGACCACAGCGCACGGATATCTGGGGGCGCATTGGGAGCCTGGTCAGCCAAAGGTGGACAGCCGCACGCGGAGAAGAGCGGCCGGTCGATAACAGGAGAGCGCGCCTCTGGCCGCGGCGCTCCGCGATCACACAGGACCCCAGCTGGAGCGGCGTGCTTTCCACGTCACTGTTTTTCCTGTCGCTGCCATTGAGGATTACCAACAGGCAGATTAGAAGCCCCGCAGCTGAATCGGATTAGGGGCATGATTGATGATCGCAGACGACGGCAGATTACCCATAATCCTCTGCCGCCACTCTAATCCTTTTGAAGGGATCGGACCTAATCCGCACATTCAGCTTGGCGAGCTCTAATGTTGGCGCCGGCCGCGGCCTGGCTGGTCTAGGCCGTGCGCAGGCCGGGTACATATGGCGTAACCTACCAACCAAGCGGCTCCGCCGAATCCAGGCTCCTGAAAAAGCTCGTCGTCGCAAATATGCAGCCTCCGGCTCAAAGCGGTGACAGAGATGGGGTTTCTGTGTACCGCGCCAACTTAACTCCCGGCGAAGAGGGGATTTGGAATACGGCCGGATTCATAGGATTTGCTGTAATCCCGACGCAGGGGCATCACAGAGAGTGTTTTTCTGTGATAAACTGGGAATAGGACGGCGACGGCGCGGCGCCAGGCCGCCGCCCCAGCTGCGTAAAAGGATGACGACCGAAGCCATAGGAGACAGCGCGGCGCAGCCGGCTATGCACGCTCCTGATAAGAGAAACGCGTCGAGCGTCGGGCGACGGCGGCGCGCTGGCGGCCGGCCGGGCCGGCGGTGGGGCAGGTCAGGGCAGCGGCGGCCGACGCATCCCCGCGGCCGCCGGCTGCGCGAACGTTCTCGTCCGTCACCAGCACGCTAAGACGCGCAGTCAGCTGACAGTGATAGGCCGCTCAGCAACTTGGGTTTAGCCGCCGCAGCACGTTTGACCGGCGGGGCACGGATCGTTGTAAAAATGTTAATCCGTCTCTCATTTCGAAGGACGCGGCGTATCCGGCTTGCCTGTTTTTGCAGCCGGACCGGGCCGGCCCCAGCACGTCACGTAATAGATCTGCGGATTACAGAGCAGTTACGACGTCCGTGACGGCGATCCGGTCGCTGAATGAACCGGAGCGGTCTCACTAAGCCGGCAAATCTCAGGACCCCGCGCGCGTCCATGATGAATCCCGGACTTCCTCTTCTTCTGAGGACCTATTACGTGCGGCTTAACTTTTGGGCCGGTGAAATTTGGGTTCAGCACGGCTGGCCAGATGCGGTTCCTTCGTTTGCCGACTTAGTCGGCTGGCGGAACTGCGGCCGGATCCCAGCCGCCTCATTATGGGGGATTTTCTAAATACGTCTTTGGTAAATGCCCCGGGATGAAAAGATAATGCCCGCGGTCGATCAAATTCAATGCAGCACTGAGGCACGTGGGCAGTGTGGACCACGGCTACCGTGCCTGGGGAGCGCGGCCACCGGGTCTGTGCTGAGGCACGTGGGCAGTGTGGACCACGGTTACCGTGCCTGGGGAGCGTGTCCACCGGATCTGTGCTGAGGCACGTGGGCAGTGTGGACCACGGTTACCGTGCCTGGGGAGCGCGGTCACCGGGTCTGTGCTGAGGCACGTAGGCAGTGTGGACCACGGTTACCGTGCCTGGGGAGCGTGTCCACCGGGTCTGAGAATCCTGTCCAACGGGTGTGTGGACCACGCCCACCAAATGCGGGCGCGCTATCGACGGCTCGTACTGAAGGTGAGTCGGTTCTCCTCGCATGTTCGCGCTTCAACACCGCCGCCTGAGTCTTGACTCGGACTGCGGACCGGCCGTCATCGCTCATGAGCCGCATCAGAGGGGCGGTCCGCGCGCATGGAGTCCGGGTGTACCTCCTTAGACCCACCCGTGGACCGGCCGGACGTGCCCCCTGGGCCCGAGCCCCGTGCACGCGCCGCACGCCGGCCGGCGGTCCACGTACCGAGCCGGCGGTCCATCTATGGGGACCGGTCCATCTGTGGGGACCGGTCTCGATGACCGCCCGCAGCGCCTGGCGACCGCGGGGCCGGTCAGTTTTTGCCCGGCGGCCTGACCCTGGAGCGAAGCCTCACGCGGCGGGCCGGGTGCACCGGCCGGTGCCAAAGCGGTGCCGGTGGCGGCGGGCAGCGGCCCCGAGCGGGGCCCCATCGGGGCCTCGCCACACGACCAGCTTAGGCGATCAGGGGAAGCGGCGAACTGAGCGCGACGTCGGTGAAATTGCTACAAGAGATGGCGTAGGTGCTCGCTGGGCCCGAAAGGGAGAGGGCGGTGCGAACTGCGTGCGTGTGGACCCACAGCTGGCGTTTCCAGGAACATACCTGGGCGGTTGATCTGATCAGTCAATGTGGTTTATTTTGATATCGGCGTAAGTATGACCAAGCTCAGGAACAGATACAGTCTGGACAGACAATAGCTATTTAGCTCCTGAACCTCCCAAAACTAGGAAGGCAAAACAGAGGACCAAACACAGAGGTGCCACATGGGGCAAACTGGAGCTTGGCTGCAAGCCCTCGACACAGATTAAGGCTACTAAGTCAGCAGCTGCCAATGGCATTTCCCAGTGCTCACCGCAGCGACATTCCTTTCTCCCCGGAAGTTACCTCAGCGCCCCTGGTGGTATTTCCCGACACAAGGACCACACAATCCCTTCTCGCTGCAGCGTCTCACAGCTTTGCCGTGTTAGCGTCCTGCTCTCTCCTATCGTTCCGGATCGGTCACCTCTGTCCTCCCTCCGTCCTCCCTCTATCCTCCCTCTGTCCTCCCCGACGGCGAGGTGTCCCCGCTGAAGCACTGCTGGCTCAGCCCGGCCCGGCCTGTCCAGCTTACTCCCCGATGACAACCGTCCTACAGGACACCGGATCAGTCTGGGTCGTCCACACAAGTCAACCAGGGTCATCCACACAGGTCAGCCAGGGTCATCCACACAGGTCAACTGAGGTCATTCACACGGGTCAGCCGGGGTAGTTCGATATGAACTTGCATTCCGGACTTGGCGTAAGTTACGTTCAGTGGCGTAAGTTACGTTGCTGGGGATTCAACTGACAAGACCCGGGCATGACTGGGATGAAGAGGTAGGCGGGTGGGCGGCGACAGGATCATGCCAGCAAAGAAAAGTACTTGCCGACTGAAGTCCTCAGAGGTGAACGAGTACCATTGGAGTCAAGGGTGGATGCCAACATCTGTTTAGTCTAGCCTATCCAATCCAAACCTTTCAGTCAAAGCCATCAATCAATCCATCAAACCAAGCAAATCTACAAACTGTATTAGGTGTGCAATGAGGGAAGGCCGAGGTCCCCGCGCTGTCCCGCGCCGTAGGGAGGGCGGGGGGGGGGGAAGGGGGAGGGGGAGGGAGGGAAGTCAGCCGTCCGCCCACCGCTGCCGTCGGGGACGGCGCGGCCGGCGGCTCGACTCAGATGGCGCCACTGTCACCCGCCGCGCTGCCGCCGCCCGATCAGGCCTGGCTGGACGGCTTTATTATACGGGACGGGTTTATCGGGACGGTGTGATGGCCGGCGGCGGCGACCATCGCCGCCGGGTCCTCATTAGCCGGCCGGCTATCGGACGTCGCCGGCCGCGCGCGCGCCCAATCCTTTTGTTTACGGACGCCACCGCGGCGCTATCGCCGCACTGCGCCGTTTGCGGCGCGGCTATCACGCCGCATCGCGGCCAGCGCGCCGGCGCGCCGCGCTCCTGCACAAAAACCGGTCAATTAATGATAATCTGGCGCGCGGCGGCCGCTCCTCAGGTGTTTACTCCAGTTCTGACGTGTTTTTGTGCACGTTGCGAAAGTAGTCGTGATTAGGATTATTTATAGAGGAATTATTGCCAGGAATGCGTAATCTGGCCGTCAACAGACGGACAGCGCAACACAGACTGAAGTGCGTGGAGAGCGGCGGTTTTTGCGCTCAGCTGTGCACCTTGCCGTCCGGCTGTTTCGCAGCCGTGTATGCTCTGATTAGATAAATTGGTCATCCGCTGGGTTGTTTGTTGGCCTCGCCTTGACTCAGTGGCCCGGTGTCTTTGTCGGCTGAGAGATGACAGGTGAGACTGCCCTCCCACCAGACCCTCGCGCGGCAGCACAATGCAGCCGCGATGGAGGATAAGGCTGTATCACGTTTCTCCTAAGGCAGATTTGGGAGGTCGGTTGGAGTCAGAGATGAGATGCGTCGCGGCGAATGCCAACTTTCCTGAAATGGTTGTCTCATCCCGGTTTAAACTTATTGATTCTGGCATGACAAAAATAAAGCGGCACGCGACCGAAACTTATATGTGCCATCTTGTAACTGTCGACCCGAGAAAGGATAAATACGATCAGGGAGGGCAGGCGGCTGAATTCTGGGCGCGCCTCCTACAAGTGATTGTCAAAAGAAGCTCTTGGGGTATTGGAGACACCTAACCGAACGACGATCTTATGCAGAGCGTAGCTGTGGAGACAGAAATTTGCCCAAAAGTCCGATCGGCACGTAAGAAACAATTCTAGGACGTAACATTTCACACGCCGTCGCAGTGCAAGCATTAGCGCACTACAAGACCACGTGCTTAAATCACCTAGCTCCAGCCCTTATAGGCTAAAGACTAACCGCTGCAGAGAAAGTCGCAATAGAAGCTTGACAAAAATAGACTCTTGCCAGCTGCCACACTTAAGAGCATGCTATGTTGGGCCTGCACTGAACGTTTCAGCACGCTACATCTAGTTCAGGTTAAGAAAATACTCAATTCCTGTTCCATGAAGCTGTTCATCCCGGTCTTGACGAGCTGTCGTGTTCCTGACCAGCAGTGGGCACCACTGACGAGCTGTGAATGACTCCGGACATGCAACTCTGTGAACCGACCGGACCGGCACGCAACTGCATCCCCGGCGGCGTGACCCCGCGACTTGGCCTGAGGTCACACAACAAAAGGATGCCACCATGTCAATTGTGACCTATCAAGGCTGACCTGAGGTCAGTATTGGCAGGTCAGGTAGTTCTCCAGATGACGCAATCGTGCTAAAAATGCCATGGCATGACTGACCTGAGGTCGTGCTGCAGAGCGGTGCCACCGCGCCGGCCGTGACCTCGGAGGGTGCGGTCGGTGACCCACCGCGACCCGGCGGCCCGCCGGCCACGCCCACGCCGTTGCAGCCCTCCTCAGACCTCTTCAGCGTCGCCATAGTTAGCTGCAGCGGCTGTGGAGGAGAATGGCCGTCGTCAGAATGTGAGGCGACCGAGATCTCTCTGGAGAGGCCGGCTGGACCCGTCAAAACCAGGAGCGGCCCACGAGGCGGAGCGCGAACCGCCAGCGCCACAGGCATTCGGCCGCGCCAGCGCCGCATTTTCGGAAGTCCCGCCTGGACTCACCCGCGAGAATGCCCATGAGCACAAAGCAGGGCACAGAGAGCCAGAGGTGTCCTGCCTGACTACTGGCGAAGAGAATGAATGAGTGAATCAAAACAGGGCGCGATGGATTGAGGTGGGACCCTCGGGGCACATACATGCACGTGGCCGGCTTGATTTTGCTCGTGCAATACCCTTACCCGAAGCATTATTTCCAGAAATGGTGTCATTGATTTCATTCATTTGAGTTGTACGATTGTTCCTAGCGCATTGGTTTGACCCATTCTCGGACCGGCTGTCACATATTCGGATACACAAATCCGGATGTCACTGAGTGCCTGGCTCCGTCGTGTGACTTAACACACGCCAATTTGATCCCCCCACGAGACCTCAAGAACTAAGAAGGCTAGAGACACCAAATGTACAGGATATCTTGATCTGTACGTGAACTCACTTAGGTCAAATTTTGAGCTTCCTAAGTTCAAACAAGTTCAAACTCCAGGCTGGTCTCCAAAGTGCCCCCAAAATCTAGGCAACTGTTTCTAAGCAAGATTTCACAACCCATTTGAGGTCAGTGACCTTGTTTGACCTTTTGAAGGTCATGGTGAACAAAACCATACAAGACTGGTCTGAATTTTGCGTTCAAATAAGCGACAAAGATTACGCTAGGCAGTATGTTCTTAAAACAAATTGTCGAACCGGGTCATCTTAGGTCAATAAGCTTTTCTGACCTCTTAGAAGTCATGGAAGATGTATAATGCGGTTCCTGCTGTCAATAAAGTCGAAATGAGCACCACACACCATCCCATATAGCAAGCCGTAGAGTGATAAATCAGGCTGGTTGTGACCTTGGTCTGACCTTCATACCTGACCTTAGGTCAACATAATTTGCTCATTCAATATTCGTGGCGCCTAAGAAAGCATCTCAGAGATGTATGGCTTCGTCAAACACTCCGTTATTGTATCAGATTGGACGATTCCCTAGAAATTGCCTTCGCTGAAACCATGGCCTAACTTTGATCTGCCATAGGTGAGCGACCTTACATGGTACATCTAAATTTATGATGTCAAACGATCCGCTATTCAGTTGTCTACAGCTATGCAAAATTTGGCCGCGCTGTTCGGAAACCATTCTGGATAAACCTTCGGGGGGGGGGGGGGTCAATTTGACCCCCACCCGAGTGCGTGTTAATCTTTTACTGTGATGATAACATTCACTCATTTCAGAGAGCCAAGAACTCACCAGGTCTAAGAAGCCATACAATTTGCAAAGACATTTTTCTTGTTTGAATCGCTCGTAGCGCAATCGAACAATCATGCATGACATACAAAGCACAGAACAACAATGGACTTCTGTCTGTTGCAAGAACTGACACGGAAACTCGGATTGCCGTGCGACAATTGAGAGGAAAGAAAAAGTTGTGAGATTTCCTATTTTGCCCTACATTTAACTGCAGGAAATTTGTGTGCTCAAACGATCAAAGGCTCTGTGTTCATCTGTGTCAACTAAACAAGTTCGTGAAGAGCGTCATTCAATGTTATAAAATCACGAAGCTCATAAACAGCTAAAAATATACTGAACCATCACCAGGCATCGTAAATACCACTACTGCAGACTTCAGCGACTTCCAAACCAACTGATGCAGATAGATGCACCTGCATATATCTTCATATATTATACATGCATCTGCATATATGCATCATACATACAAATCCACACGGTGACATGACAAATGAAGACTTATTTTCGGCGTGAAAATCCGAACTGTAACGAGGGTGTGAAGTAAACTTATTTAGTTAACAGTCTGTTTCAGACAGAGGCGCAGGACGAAGCGACGGCAGGCGGCAGATGGCCTCGGTGACCTCGCTGTTCACACAGGACGCCTCGGATGGCGTCGTCCGCCCAATAATTCGCCATAATATGTTTAAAAGCAAACATCCACCAATATCAATGGCAACTATGGGTGGAAATGTTAAAGCACTCTCTCTACCTTCTCCTGCGGTAAAAGGGCGCGCATGGGTTTTATCCAGGTTCGAGAATATCTTGAAAGCGGCGCTGATCCTGACAGCTCCTTTCCAGACGCGGGCATCTTGTTGTTGTTCTTGGGCGCTTGCTTTCTGGAGTGTCCTGCGGTAATACCTTAGTTGCCCGATCCTCCGAGATAAGCTTCTCGACTCTAAGCTTCATATAAGTATGCGTGCACCCAAGGGGTTTGTCGAGTTGATTGGCTCTTTTTACCTGAATGGTTTTCTTCCTGTCCACGCGCATGTCTCCATAGTTACCAAAGATACGCTTGGAAAAGAGGCAGGGCGTTAGATTCGTCTCTTTATGCGATTAAAAGACTGCGTCGGATTGCTACCACCTTTTTGAGCCGTCTGAAGGCACCGGAGCGGGCTCTTACCTCATGGATAATTGGGGGTTGGGGGTGGGGGATGGGGGCTCCCTCATCAGGCACGGCTCTGTGCCCACCATCATGCGACTGTGACCTCATCCTTGCTGACCAGGCGGGTACGGTCAGGCACCCGCTGGCCACCCGTGGCAGACGCTGCTGTGCATTCTTGACCGCCTGTGAACAGGAACACGTCTCCCGACAACGACCGCGTATCGTTGCTTCGGGTGGGGCGAGTCAATGGCTCTTACGCGCGAGCAAATCAATGGTTCTCTCTAAAGATCAAACATTGCGACGGCTTAATCACGTGGTTACGTCAGGAATGGCCACAGCCTGTTGCACGTGACTCGCTGTGGTCTTAGCTGGCTGCGAGCCAGATGTTTGTTTGGTAGATTTTGTGGTCAAAATGTCTTTGCAGTGCATCGTATGAGGCCTGGTGGCACCGCATGAGGCCTGGTGGCACCGTATGAGGCCTGATGGTGACTAGTCCAGACTAAGCAACGTCGTCGCAGTTGAGTTTGGGTTTTGGGTTGCATCGCGTTGGGCGTGCTTCTAAAGCATGCAAAGATGTGACTGGCTCCGGTTGTCCCACGCATGGAACCAACACTCCTGAAACGAGTTTCCGCTGTAGCAAGCGAGCCCATTCACCCGAAGCGAGCGAGCTGCTGCACAAATTTGCAAAAGGTATCAGATTCACGGTTATTCACGTATGTAACTGACATACAATATTTCGCAAGGTCTAATGCCTTAAAGACCGTTGTGTTGTATAAGCTCAGGGTCTATACCGCATGTGATGGTTAGCGAAGACTCTGAACCAACTTCGTGATGTTGATGTTCGCTCCCCAGTTTTCCTCACATGTCAAGATGGAGCGTCTCTAGGACATTGCAACTTATGAATAAGTCCAGTGGAACTTTCCACTTTCCCACTTTCCGCGGAACCCACTTTCCGCGGAACGATACCCATTTTTGGCCACTTTACCATGCCGAGTTATTTCAGCATTCCTACACACAGACATTTTGCTCGAGTTTGACACGCTTGCAAAATCAAAACTACATGGCGATCAGTGAGAGTCCATGGTCTTATTCCAGAACTTCCAAGTTATGTCTGCTTTTAAGTGAGAATGCTTGTATCGGGCTTCAATGTGTTGGCATTGGCTTAATATCAGTTAACGCGAGTCTTTTCTCCTAGTAATGGCAAGCGTGGCCGACCCTCGTCCTAACGCTGGATCGAAGGGTGTTGGGTTAGCGTACGGCGCAACGCGGCGTTGCAGTCAGAGGCGGCTAATCAAAATGCACGACCAAAAGCGTTCTACACGGAGCGTGCTGCATATCACATAGAAACACGCCTCTTCAGAGACGGTTTATCACGCCACTTCGCGGGAGTCCGGACGGCGTACCAAAAGCGCCGAGTAGTTGAGCCTTCGCCAGAACCCAGGATGGAGCAAGCTCTCCAAGTTCCCGCTCTGACCAACGCTATTACCTTTGGTCTGGTATGGCTTCCATGAACTAAAGCTTTTCATTCGTTTCCTCACTGGTCACAAAAACGCCGGCACCGCACTCAAAATAAGCTATACCGACGTAAAAAACTTTCGGGTGAACTTTATTTAGGGTTATACAGAGCGCTATCAGAACTAAAAAACTGAATTGTGCGGAACCTTAGAACTGAATGCTGCACACAAGCAGGTGGCGTTTTTAGTTCCGCGGCCGTGGTTGGTGATATCAAACCACGCCTTCGATGGAAGCGGCCACAATGCTAAAATTGGGCTATCCAGTTATACTTTAAAGCAACCATTGTATCGCTAGGAGTCATTGTCACTAGTCAAGCAAATATTGCATCCTAAGGACTGAGACAGTTAAAGATGCAGACAGAACACTGTGCTTACCGGTACTTAAGCCAGCTGTAAGATCACACCACAGCGCGAGAAGCCCTCAGCCCCACACGATCTGAACAGCGAGCGTGTTACCATTCACCACTCGCAGTTGACCTGATAAGGGTACACTAAGTGCGGAAGTGCAGTGGAATGCCTCAGGCCGCCTCTCAAAACATGGCCTCGAAATGGGCAGTGCGCTCTGAAGCATGCATTGCGGATGCGCTCCAGAATCTGTCACAGCCCAGAAATATCCGGGCTACATTGCTCAGCCCACCTATTCAGCTTGCGTCGCAGGTGCTTGCATTTGTACCTGCATCTAATATTCAGGTGGCGCTCCGACAAAACTACCGGCCGCAAATCACTCATTGGAGCAAAGCAGCTAAGACGATGTAAAAATTTACCATACCACCAGACGTTCAACTGGAAAGAAACTATGGGGAAACACTACCATACATCCTGCAGAAGTTACACACCAGTCTTAGATTACCCATAAAGAGTCTCCGAGCCGAAGCAGGCCAGCCCGTCTAGTGGAATCGCTGTTTGACTAGCTGACCAGCAAGAGGACCGGGGTACCGCATTGCGGCCCACTAGCCGGCTCGGACCCTCCCGGCAGCGGACAGGTCACGAGGTCGATGGGATCCACAGGGGTCAAGTTCCTATTCACTTGGGGGGGGGGGGGGGGCTTCACTCTCTCATCCAATCCTAGCTCCAGCCCCCCCCCCCCTCCCCCCATTGCATCGATGACAAAGTGCAGGCTGGGCACCGGTGGGTGTTGTCGCCCTGCTGCCGCTGAATGCCGGCGCCAAGAAAGTTTGAGGTTTCAGTACTTTCCTGCACGCTTTGTTCTCGGTCTTGCCCACTGCGAGAGGATGAGCAGGTGAACAGGCTCGTAGCTCGCTCCTTAGAAGAGGATGAGCAAGTGAACAGGTCGGTGACTTGCTCTCGGCGAGAGGATGAACAGGTAAACAGGTCGGTAGCTCGCTCTCTACGGGAGGATGAACAGGTGAACAGGTCGGTGGTTCACCCGGACACCTATGACATTATGCTGAACCCGGGAAAACACTGGCTCAGTCAGGCCGAGGCCCATCGCATTCAGGGACCGGCGGTGGCTCTCGTTCACAGTCGCGGTGTAGATCTGATTGACAGGAGACTGGACCGTTTGAACTCGAAAGGCATGCCAAAGGGGATGAGCGGGCTTTCAGGACGAGGACCTCCGTTCTCTTGACATTGCCTGTCATGATGGTCGTCATTGCAGACCTTAGGGCATCCTCGCGTGGGTAGTTAGTTCACAGCCTCCTCCGGGTTTAGAGCAACGTCTATCGACTTGTAAGCCCTTCTCTCTCCACGCTGGCTGTCCAGAAACCTCGAGTTCATATCATCAACAGCGAAGCTTTTCGGCGCCATGGAACGACCAGCTCGCTGAGCCTGGTTGTGGACTCTTGGTACCATTATTCCCAAGTCACAACGCCCCGGGCGAGGTGCCGTCGACAAAATCTACGTTTTCTCTGGAGTGAAGCTTGACTTGGCTACTTCGTCTCTGGACCTGGCCGTAGCCAACTTGAAAGAGTTGGTTGGCAAAATTCCCCGCTGCTTTGTCGCCACTTAAGTGCACACACGTTGGCAGTGAGATGCTTGTTGGTGCTCTGTCCACAGAGGTCAAGTTCCTTTTCACTTGGGGGGGGGGGGCTTCACACTCTCACCCAATCTTAGCTCCAGCCCCCCCCCCCCCCAGCTTCAGCTCCAGCTTCCCAGCTTTCCGATAAAAACGTTCCAAATCCCAAAAACAAAACATACGTTTGCGTATTTCGGAAGCGAGTTGAGACATTTTTTTTTTCATGCACGTCCCCAAACCAATTTTGAGAGACTTGGCCACCGTCTGTCCGTCACTTACCGCTCATGACTCTGTAAGCTGTGTTAGTCACAGAAAAACATTACCGCGTAGGATCATCTCTTTGGAACCACCGGTCAATTGTTTTAGTGCATTCTACTGGCCGTCATGCTGCGGTTTTTACTCTATCCGCCCCTTGCAGTTGGTAGATATGAATCGTTTAGCACGCGGAAGCCGTTGCTTTTTTCCTTGGTCCGATAAGCTCCAAATGGCACTGAGCCAGCCACCACCACTGCTTACCCTATGGGGCAGGCTGGCTCGCACCGCGCCCTGCACGGTGGTCAGAGCTGGCTCAAAGAGTTATATAAACCTTCCCTTCGTGACACTGATACAGAACATATAAGCTTTCTTGGATCTCCAACAACCACCAGCGATCCTCTAGTTATGAGAGACCAAACGGCAGAGTTTCCTCTGTTATATAAGACAAGCCCCTTGCATCATGCGCACTTCTGCAGAGAGTCATGAACTTACAAGCCCCTTGCATCATGCGCACTTCTGCAGAGAGTCATAGACTTACAAGCCCCTTGCATCATGAGCACTTCTGCAGAGAGTCATGGACTTACAAGCCCCTTGCATCATGCGCACTTCTGCAGAGAGTCATGGACTTACAAGCCCCTTGCATCATGCGCACTTCTGCAGAGAGTCATGGACTTACAAGTGAGCAAAATAGACAGATAAAAGTAAAGGTTTGGTAATCTTGTAAAGGGCATACGGCATGCATGTTACTACATACCACACACCGCATTTGATGAGAATGCTCGTATGCATGCGGAAAGGAAGCAAACTTTTCGAGTCGGCCGCTAGGTACGTCATACAAATGTATATTCAAAACAAAATACATTTCCTGCACTTGCAGTGTAACACCACTATAAAAGACGGGTTCGACTGACATAAATACAGGCATACTGTCAAAACAGGGATCGAATCATGAGAAGGTTATCACAATAAAAATGATGATGGAGGTGTGGAAATGGATGTAACCACGCCTCTGACTCTGAGGGGCAGATCAGAATTGAAGGGGTCAAACTGGAGTTTTGGCCTTAAAAAAGTTTATGCTTTTTAACATAATCCTTCCCAGTAAATTTCGTCACCAGTATCGCGACTAGATTAAACGAAATATTTTGTATTCCGCCAATGAGAAGTTAAAAATGCTGGAAAATGATCCCAATATCGGAATCAACTGACCCTTAAAAGGCATTTCAGTCGGAAGACATGAAAACACGCAATGCTGGGGAAAGTTAGAGGGAACATAATCACACCCTGCAAAAAAGAGTAAACGTCTCCCCTGCCCACTCCACTGGTAACACTCATTGATGTAGTGAGACTTGGTTATCTGGCTGGATAGGGTACGCTCACCAATAACGCGGGTGGACCGTTGTGATTGCGTGTGACCTTTGACCTGACGGCCGATCGGAGCCGGTCATCGACGTGAAACATGCATCCACTGCAAAATCAACACCAGCGATGACGCATGTGATCACCACTGCACATAGATCCGAACAGTAGCGTTTATACAAACGTTTCTTAACAATCTACACTGAATTCTTGTTTTAGGAAATCGAAATTCGCCATTTTGCCTGGACCAGTTTATTGAGCTGCTACTTGAGTTCAAATTAGAGCCGCATGAGTCCTGCATTTTCTTGCATTTTTTTCGGCCTATATTTCGTCTCACTACAAACTGTAAGCCTCAAACACGCTCTCCGCCTCTGCCGAGCATTGCGGCACCATCAGAGTTGTCTCGCGCTGCTCGGTCCGGCACCCCGTCGCCGACACGACCCACGCCATGTGCCCTGCACTGCTTGGCATTGGAAGCTATGCCTGACGGCGCCCGTGTGACGCGGGTGATCGTGTGGGAGCCAGACGGTGGCGGACGCAGTGGGTCACCATCGCAATTCCTGTTCAATGGCTCCATCATCGTCACCGCCCTCGTTAGGCTATTGGGTACACGCTTGTGAGTGCTTTAGCGGAAACGCAATTCACTACTTTTCAAACCATGCAGCCAACTGTGAGTGCGAGGGTGAGACAGATAAGATATTGATTTAGACGCACGAAATATCGACACAAGTTTGCCCAAATCGGTTACGCCAGCAGCCACAAGGGAGCAAAATATCAACGTAGGAAATGCTGATATAGTGATATAGTGGCATAGTATGAGCAGGAGCCTAAAGACAATGCCCATGCTTTCTGATGGAAGCAGTGGTTAAACCAAATCAACAAGCCTTAGGTACAGAGGTCACAAATGCTAGAAAGCACGCAGAGGTCACAAATATTACAGGTCACGCAGAGGACACAAAAGTTAGCTGCGGCGACCACTTCGGCGGCTGTCCCTCGAAAGCGTCTTCTTCTTCACCCAGTAAGTCTGCTCAATACCCGAGTGCAGCACTCCCTAAAACGCGATGACGTGGACCAACTGGAGTTAAAGAGCCGCGCCAAACCCACCTCTCACAGGGCTTCCGCCGAAGACCATGCTGAAGACGCGTCAAACCGGCTACCAGAACGGCTTCTCTATTTTCCGACGTGTCACCGCCGTGTGAAATGCTGAACATCCACTATTACCAAGCACAACACACGGGGCTGCTCAAACAACACCAGATAGCTGCTCAACGCCAGAGACGCCCCGTGAATAACTCCGTTAGGCCCGAGAACGCTTGCCTACATCACGCCAGTACCAGGAACTGTGCACACCGGGGTGACGTTCCACAGCGTGACATGAGCCGCCGACGTCGCAGCCGGCCCACCGCAGTTACGTTTCAACCTTTGCACGCCAGGTGACACCGGTGGAAAGGTCAGCACCTGTCGGCCTCGCCGTGTCAGACCAGACGGAGCCGTACCCACCAACTGCACTGCAACAGGTGCATTTATCACATATTGTGCAATGATCACCTAGCCGGCGATTGTGGGTGGTGTGAGTGGCTCGTGATGCTGGTAGTGGTCGGGGTGGTGGGGGCGTCGCCAGGGCTGGCGGGGCGCGCCTGACGTACCTCGTTGCTGTTCTCGGAGAGTTCTGCGCGCTGGCAGGCCGCGCTCCAGCCGTCCGTGGCCATGGCCTCCCCCTGAGCCTCCTCCTCCATGGACGCCTGCGGACACAGGGCGCGAGGGGGCGCGCGTCCGGCACGATCGTCAGCTGGCGCACCACGTCCGTCCGGCACCGCGCCCGGCTCGGCAGTGAGCCGCCGCCGCGCCGGCCTGCCCCGGATTATTTCTCAGCCCGATCCCCCTAATCCCACGGTCCTAATCCGACACTTAATCCTGGATTAGGCGGCGGCGGCGGGCCGGGTCAATACGGCCGCCCCGGCCGTCGGACTCGTACGGCTGCTGGCGCGCGCCGCGCGTGGCCGCCACCGCCGCGCGGTGCTCACACCGACCGAGTTCGCGCGAGGCGCGGCGAGACGTGACCTCGCGACACCCGCGCCGCACTGTGACGTCAGCCGCCCCACCCGCGCGGCCTCGAGCCCCGGCGCGGGGCAACGGGCGGGGCAGTGACGCCATGACCAATTATCGGCCACCGCCGCCGGCAGCAGTCAGCCTTGCAGCTGCGGGGAAAGCGCGCTATGACGTTGCGTTGTTAGCGCCAATGCTACTCATAAGACACGTGCACGCTATCAAAAGAACGATGTGCTATGTCGCTTCCCCATCGCGTACGTCATCTTCGAAGCGTGAATAAGAGAGAGAGAGAGAGAGAGAGAGAGAGAGAGAGAGAGAGAGAGAGAGAGAGAGAGAGAGAGAGAGAGAGAGAGAGAGAGAGAGAGAGAGAGAGAGAGAGAGTACAGGAGCATGCAGAGGGGGAAAAATAAACATAAAAACAATGTTCAGGACTAGTATAAGGCCGCAGCACCGTAATGCAGCACTGGCGGATCGACCTGCTGATCCAGAAGCGCAGATGTTGGCCTGGCACGCGGAGAGATCGGCCGGGCGCGCCGCAGGTCACAGTTGGCCTGCTACTCCCAGGGCCGGCCCACTCAACGACCGATCGAGTCAGGCGGACGGGCCTTCCGTTCCCAATCAGATTAAATGCCCGGCTCCCATGGGCTGAGCATTGACCCCGTTTCCAGGCTGACTGTGGATTACGGCGGGATCAAATTAGGCTGAGCCGGGTCCGCCTGAGATCGGATTAGGCGTGGCGCCTGCGTCGGATCGACGCGCTGGTCAGGCAAGGTTATCGAACAGTGCGATCCAGATCGGTCCAGATGACCAGGTACAGTCGCAGATGCGTTTATGTATGGCATCTGCCTTCGAGTTACGTATCTGATCGATATAATTGGATTTAATTGGACTATTTGCGGCAGGACTTCAGTACTTGTCTGATAAGTTTCAAAAATGCTCCTACTTGTGAATTATTCTGTGAACCCGACAAAACTGAGCTGTTTGAAGACGGTCCCTTTTAGCATTCTGAGGCACGAAGGGCTTTCTTCACCCGGCTGGCAGGGTGTTCAGCGCACGATATTAGCACGTGGAGCAGCCTCAGACAATATTTGATTTACTGACTAGTTCTATCATTTGTCACGTCAGTCACGTGGATCGCGATCATCTGCAACATGGAATCGGGGGGGGGGGGGGGGGAGGGAAGAACCATATACCGGGCTGTGATTTGAAGAGAACAATGACAGTGAACGCCCATTTTCCGCCGCGGGAATAAAAACACGGTTACCGTATTTGGCTCATTTCGTCCGAGTATTTAGCAACGAAATAGTACACGAACGCTTGCGACAGACGGAAAACACGACGGGTCCCACTGAAACATTCACAAAATGATCGAGATCATTCCCTCAGTGTCAGAACGAGGGCCGGCCCGACAAAGGCCAACTAGCATCTAGTAAAAGATGCCTGACCTGCTAGGAGCACACCGTGTGGGATCATTATACGGCACAATAAGCCCCGCGGCGTCCGAGGTGCGAAAAGGTACAGGCAGGCGGCGTCTCAAGTACGGAAAGGTACAGACAGACGGCGTCCGAGGTACAGAGGGGTACAGGCAGACGTTTGCACCTGATTGTTCTCCGCGGGACCAAAAGCGCTATGACGGATAAAAATGGCCGGAGTCAGAGCTATCTGACGTTCCCCATAGCGCAACGTACACGCAACAGGTTTCTGTCAGCGATTGCTTATGAGAACAAAGAGACCCGCGCTAGTCATTCCGCAGAAACATTTTTATATAATCATGCACTGAAAACCGTACGCCAGCCGCGTCACTGCCACTACTCTGGCCTCGTTGGCTCTAACGGCAGGCCAGAGCTGCTTGACTTCAACTGCCGCGGATGGAAGAAGCCAGAAGCTTCTGGCATGAGTGGGCAGGTGTCTGTACGTGGGTGGCTGGTCTGAACCATCATCACAAAAGTATGGTTTCCTTTACCCGGCCGGCTCGACAGAACGTTTTACGGTGACATCGGCAAGTACTTATTCGCTCGCCCTGCTCTCATCGGCTCTGGCATGGACATGGAATCTGCGTGGGACCGAACAGAATTGCCTCGACGCAGAGCTTGTGACTTGTTGGCTGTTGTGCTCTAACAAAACCAGGCTCATCAAATATGTGATATGCGCTGTATTTGATAATTGGGTGTGGATATTTCTTAAAAGAATTGCAATGCATTCCTTAATCCTCCCTTGGAAACAGGATTAAAGAGAATGTTCTATGAAGAGAATGAATTCAAGAGAATGATTAACTTGAATGTTAAAGAGAATGTTCCACATTTGAAGGCATTGAGACAAACATTAGATGTGATGAAATAAACTTCCTTGCAGCTGTTAGTATACTTGTAAGCGTAAAAATTACTCTAGACAACCAATTGCACTACCTAATGAATACATTCCTCAATACCTCGTCCTTTGAATGCGTCGTGGAACGTTTGTGTGACGCTAGAGGGGCTTCGAAATTGACCACGCGAAATAGGCGAAGGGGAATGGATATCAAAATTGACCCAGGGCAAGCAACTCGTCGGTCGTGGGCTGCCAGATTCAGCAAAATGGTTACAAGCGTGATCCCAGTCCAGGACCGTTTTCCCTTGGCACGAAAAGCCCGGATCGACATTACGGAAGCCCACTATTGAAATAAAAAAAACGACAATAATTCGATGGACTCGTGTGAAAAAGCATCGCATGCTAACCATAGTGTTAATATCTATCAACATCAATAACATCACATAAAAGCAGGACTTCCAAATTGGTGACCTCACGTGGCAACACCGCACGTGGCGACAGGCAGACTTTTTCACTGCACTGACATCCTGCAGTGCCTGATTGAAAGACTAGAATTGCAGAGCAGCCCGGCTCCTGTTACTTCCTATTTCAGCTACCGTTCAAGCTGCGGGCCCAACGTGGAGCCACTTGATTGCAAAAAAGCTGACAAAAGCTGCCGGAAATGGGGCTGATACTACGCGCATTAAATTGCCATGACGTCACCGCAGTGGCTTATAATGGGGCGCCGTTCCAGTTGTCACGACACCTGTAGACTCCGAGTTATGATGTAGCAGGTCCAAGCACCCGAGGAAACATTTCATCGCGATGAGTACTTCAAAGCCATGGGTTTGCAGATGCACTGGTTAATGCATTACGATGGAGATCGAAGTACCTCTGGTGAGCGCTCTTCAATTTCCAGCTTCCTGAGAGACGAAAACTCATTCTGCTTGTGGGGGAAAATCTGTCCCCGAGACATTTTCCAGCATCGATTTAGTCGGTAGGGTTTTAGCAAAAGTAGTGCTAGGTACTAGGGCCCGTAACAGACTTAGCGTATTTCGTGAACCATTAGGAACACATTGATGCCAATGCACGAGGTAATGCGCTTTGACGCCTGTTACCTTCCCATAACATGACAAATATCCTCAACAGTTATAACTTGGAGAACTAATTCTCATCTTGCTAGGGAGAGGGAATCAATGCCGGGGTCTATGCAACATATAGATTTGGAGCTGTACCTACCTGAGTTTCCATCACGTGTTCGCAGCATGCTTGTTTATATGCAAAATCTAACAGAAACCATTTCGACACAGTGATGTTGGAAATATTTTCTGGAACGTTATATATATATATATATATATATATATAACATTCAAATGCCTTATATCCTGTCGTAAAACGATGTCTGTCAGTGTTCATCACTTATACAGCAAAGGCGGATGCATCAATCCATGGTGATATAAAGCTCCTATGCGATCATGAAGGTTCAGAAGATATCCAAGATAGAAGATAGCGGATGCATCCAAGATCTGGGCCCATTACTAACGGCTTTTAGTCTTGGACGACGTCAGTGGCAAATTACGCAATGGAACAAAGAATGCAAGGTCTTCTTTAGCCCGTCCAACGGTTTCAGACGCCGGTGATGCCTTCATGCAAATGAACAGTGGAGCACCTTGATAGTATGATGGAGTCTCCTCTGACACTGGAACAAGAATCGACTTGAGCATACCAAGCTGATCCCATCCCATCTCTACCTGACACATACAACTAACCCATACACTCCCGCATGGCAGGCTCCTAGCCAGCAATTATGCGAGTAGTTGAAAGATCCTTGATACATGACCGCAACAAGACGACAATGATTCAACAGTATTTGACCATTTTGTAACAAAACGTTTGCATCTAAGCGATGAAATGACCGTGGATGTTTTGAAAATTTTGGATGCGATAATCGTTAGTCGAATATCGTCCGCAAAGTATTCGCTGATCGTAGATGAGTTTTGGCTATGGGACTTGATTATTAAGAATTCGCTTGCGGTAACAGCAAATGATGATGCATTTTTACGCTTGGTTCACAGATATATCTTGACTTAAAAGCACAAACTGCATTCCAAGGGGATGCATCAGTCACGGTGATGTACATGATATTGCTTTATATGGCACACCGTTCGAATCTTCCCTGACAAAAAAGTAATGCCATTTCATCCTCTGCACCGCTCGCAAAGCGTAGATAAACCTTATAAACGCCCTTTCGTGTCATGAATCGATCCTCTGTCACCACAGGTGGGACCTGTCAATGACCCACAATCCTGCGAGGTATGTCGATCATAAATAACAGTGTGCCTCCAGCTGCCTTTTACACACGGCTCTATTCAAGTCAAAAGCTTGAACAGAGCTTGAGTCGCGCCGATCGTTTTCAGTCCGCTGGGCGAAGGTCGGTGCGGCTTGGGTTCGAGTCCGAGCTAGAGACGCCACTTTTCAACCCGCATGCGTCTAACCCGCAAGAGCCCGCCAGCATTTGGCCGGGTTGTGGGCACGAGTTGGCGGGCTTTTGCTGGTCAACAATTCTATCAAGAGAAATGATGCATTTTTGCCACTACAGAAGTTTTTAAA